CTTCTCTAGATATTATAGTACATTGCACTAAGAAGTCAATTTTCATACTCAGAAGTTGTGCAATCTTTTGAAGAAACTCCAGATACTTAATAGTTCACTAACCAACCTCTTAACACCTCCTAATCTTTGCAGTTTACAAAGGCTTATTGTATTTCAATACTTCTCTATTTATTTTCCAAAAGTACAGCATATCTAAAATAATATTGAAGCACACAATATAAATCTCCATAGTCCATTTCGTTCATCGGTGTGAATTGTTTCACTCAATGGGCAAATTGCTCATACATTTGTTTGTATCAATTACAGACTGAGTGAGTTTAGCCTATCAATAAGACATATCTGCAGAATCTTTTCTCTCTGAAATTCCTATACAGAGATTTCATTCCAAATAACATAGAATGTTGGGTAAAAAGCAGATTAATCATTAGAAGAAACAGGCATTTCATAACTGTTATTTGAAACATGTTTCATAGCTTAGTAAAATGTATGAAAAGGTATCAAAATGTTTATTTTAATGGGTCAGCAATTTTGGTGAATGATTTCTTCCCCTTAGAATGTCCTGCAATAATATAGGTCAGTGTAAATGGAAGTCTTCTAATATGCTGGGATTGTGTTTGTTTTGTTTTATTTAAAGATCTAAAGAGTGCAATAAGAGGCATAAAGTCTAGGTAAACAAATCAGAACAGGAAAACTGCAGGAGATAATAAAGCAGGAATTACTGAGGCCTTGTTATCAGTCTCTAAAGAGTTGGAAATAAAAGGATACTCTAGCCAAGAAATTGCCTAGAAATTAACTCACCTATAAATAACCAAGACCCAGAGGAAGAATGCGCATCAAACAAAATAAGCCAGTTATATATTATAAATTTTGTAAAAGCACATCCATGTCTTGCTTCTACTGAACTTAAAAAAGCATACATAAAAAATATTAAGACATATGCCTGGAATTGAATTAGTTGAATTCATTTTATTGAATTCAAACCATAATTTGAAACTTAGGGATCTTTTGATTTTGGCAATAGCATATCCTGCAAATCAAGTACACAATAGCTGCTTTTGAAATGAATCAAATTATTCTTAACTTATCAACATCTATGTATGATCTAAATATATAAATCACTTAATTTGTTTAAGAAGTTTTCCATCACAAACTGTTCTGTAAAAACACAACAAGTACAACTGATGCAGCTGTGTAAAACTTTCCAAAAAGGTGCTTTGAGTACATAAGTAGGACCTCCTTTTTAACATTAAAGTAGCTGTGCCTTTACAGATTTGTATTACTCGTTCAGAAACCATTCAACTCTGGAAAAAAGAAATGACTACTTTAATAGTTCAAAAAGAGATGCTTTATATATACTGATAAATTACATAGAACCTCATTTGAAGGTTTATGGCAGTGTTTCTCAACCTTGACAATTTTAAGGCATGTGGACTTCAACTCCCAGAATTCCACAGCCAGCAATGCTGGCTGTGGAATTCTGGGAGTTGAAGTCCACATGCCTTAAAATTGTCAAGGTTGAGAAACACTGGTTTATGGCATGTATAAATCAAAACCCTGAAACAGATTACTGACTACGGTTGTAAATATGACTTTATTGTGTGATGGAGAGCTCAAACTATGGATGTTCTGCTTGGTATGAATTAAAATGCTGACCTGAAACCAAGGTCTGACAATTCACTGTAAAAAAAGGGAGAGGGACAATAAAGTCAAGTAACTTTATAGGTCTCATTTACATACACATCTACATAAAAGTTCAACACCAAGCACTTTCCCACTATAGTTTGATAGAAAGTATATCATTTTCCAGTATAACGACAAGCAAATGAAGGTAGTGAGATGAAGAAGACAAAGAAGACTTTTTAAAACTAGAATCAGGCAAATTTTCAAGTAGACTATCTCAGAATATCTATCCTACAACCAAAGTATTTGATGTAGAGTCATTGGGTCATTTGGACAGGCATTGATGTGGAAAAAATGATATTTTAGTTTAAGTATTAAATCTTACATAGCCTAGAATGATGAGAAAAGGCTTGAAGTAACGTAAGTGCAAAAACTTTATTGACTTTAGGATTACTTAGATGAGAATTGAAGGGTAGAAATTTGATAAATACATTAGATAGATAGATAGATAGATAGATAGATAGATAGATTCATATTAGATAGACAGACAGACAGACAGACAGATAGATAAATTCATATTTTAGAATATTATGTACCACCATCTCATGAAAATTGTTAAATGTTGAAGTGGTATGACATGGCAAGAGCTGCCCCCCCCCTTTTTGCCCAAAATCTAATTGCATCAAATAAAAAAAAACTTTGCCTATAATCTCTAAAACACAGAGAGGGATATTAATTATTCAAAATCAAGGATGAATCCAACAATATTCCAACTAGGAAAATTTAAGCAAAATATTTTTCTCTTACAAAATTATTTCCTGAAAAATAATGCTGGTTTTATATTATCTATCTTGGCATACTTAAATCTTTAACATTTTGAAACAGCTTATTATTTTATAATGTTTACATTTTGCTATTAACTGCTTTGGAAAGATTTTAATTTGAAAATATGAAATATAACAAATAAATTAGCTATTGTTTTTTGTTTTAATATACAGTTAGAAAGTTGGATTTGCATTATGTTGCAAAATGTAAGAAGTGCAAGCAAAAATAATGAATTTTGCTATAGGGAAATTTTTTGCTGGAGGCTTTACCCTTAGTGAGTTTACCACAAATGAAAAAGGTACAAAAAGGAGCAGCACAAGTGATCAAAGTCATGTGAGTAATGGCTATAAGCATTAGGTCCTTTTAGTTTACAAAAAGGCAAATAAAGAAAAGCATGAAAGGGACAAATAAAATGATGCATGATATGAAAAAAAATAGGAAAGCAAACATTTTCTTCCTAAAATGGGAAATGAGAAGAGGTAAAAAAAATATACTGATTTATACAAGGCACGTTAGCATACAGATTCTGCTACCAGAAGAATGGCTAGTGCATAAGACTGTCATTCCAAATTAAATTGATCAGAAAAATCAACTATCACTGAATTTGGGATGATGGATTCTGTGAGATGGGAAAAAAACCACTGTACTCACTGCTTCTCTTGCTGAAAGGACCAAAAATGTATGCCATTATGGAGAGGCATTACTGGAAAGTAAGTTACTGGTTGTCATCTTGAGGAAATGAAGTAAAAACATTACAGTGGAGTTTCCCCCCTTATTTTTAATCAAGTTCTAAAAATATGTACACATTTTTAAAAGTTTTTATTTATAAATATGTGACTTTTGGAAATACTGAAGAACAATAATTATTCAAAGGCTTCTTTTACTGAGACATGCAAATGGAAACAGCTTCTAATTAATCTGCTGCCTCCGTTTAATTAAAAACTAATTCTCATCTACTATCAACTAAAGCATATTAATTAGTTTTAATCATTACAGTTTGGTTATTCCATAATTATCATGTGTTTACTGAGTTTTATTTTCTTCTGTAGAATGACTATAGCTTTATAATTTTTATACTGAAAAACATAAAAAAGATTGATTCTTTATTCTGCCATCTATGACTCATAATTAGCCTGCCTGTTATATCTTTACAGGTTGAGACTGTTATATCAACAATCAGTAAAATTAAATAATTAAATTAAACCAAATTTTAAAAAATGAAGCCAGTGGCTGTCCATAAATACATGACACATGAGCTCCATCTACAGGTCAACAATCCAAGTAAAAGGTTTGATAGATGATTACTTAAAAAAATGAAGATTCTAGTATCATATTCTAATATTTTTCAGTCACATTTTAAATATGTATTTTAGGAATTCCTACATTTGTTTTATGATTGGAAAAATCTATTTTACCGTAGGTCTTTATGACTAAAAAAAATATGTGTGTGACAGGAAACAAAATGATTTTTGCCATATTTTTTTTGAACGGTGTGAGAAGAAAAGATTGGACAACCAAATATTTGTCCAAGATGGAGTTGAGAAATTCTGCCTTGGGCAAGGGTTTGGCCCAGAAAATCTGCAAGGTCCCTTCCAATGCTATAATTCGATGACATCACATATAAGAGGGATACCAAGGGATGGATTTGAAACAGAATCTTAAAAAGAAATTATTTATTTTGTGAAGATTAATCAAAGCAGTTGACCAAAGTTTTATATAGAATCAGAGAAACAGAAGTTAACCTAAAAGTCCAATCTCTTCAATCTAGACTGCAACCAAAGCATCCTCCTGGAGAAAAAGCCATTCAGTCTGTTTCTTTGCAGACCAGTACATAAAATTAAATGGTCATATATTTATGATTTACTTTGGTATTCTCTTGTATTAGGTAAAAAACATGTTTCGCTGTCTCACTAGAATCCACAATTCTCAACAAACAAGACTCATATGTAAAGGACTAAATGAACAATTTTTGCAAATGAATATAAAAATTAGATCAGAGTTACTATAAACGTAATATTACTTCACATATGAAGTCTTACTCCAATAATGTACTTAATTTTCAAAATTATCTTTGATTATTTAACTTTAAAACTTTTGTTAGCTAACATTTGACAAAATGTTAGCAGAATCTCCCACCGAAGTTTATTCATACTATGACTTGCTTTGATACACAGAAATTAACAGAAAATTGAAGCAGCTTTTCCAAAGCCATCTCTTGACAACATGCCATTCACAAGTGTTTTGATTTTATCTTGAAATAGTTTTTTCCAATTCCCACTTCTGACAATTACTGAGTAGACTGTAACTAATACATTATCAAATGTTATAACATAGTACAAGACTGTGCTTTAGTTTTATATTCAATTTTAGTTTTATGTTCAATATTTATTTAAACATTTTTAAATTTATAGTTGATGACAAAATGGACCTCTAAAAATAATTATGAAAAGCTTAGATACATTATAACACTTTATTTAAAATGACAACTATAACATATTTGAAAGTTTCCTTTAGAAACTTAACATTTTAATAAATTTAAGGTATACATTACTCACCTACGGCTACTCTTCTGCTTTTGCTCCCCTTCAGTTATTTTTTTAATAGGTACATCAGTATTTTTCTTTAACTTCTCCATAACTCGTTTTTTCATTTGATACTTTTCTTCACTATCAAGACCATCATCTTCATCACAATATCCCTCCTCTTCTCCCTGGGCAGATTGTTAAGACATTCATACATTTTAGTTTATACATCTGAACTGTTCAGTATCATCCAAAAAAGATTCTTTTTCATGACCAATTTATTAGAAAAGCACATTTTTAAAACAGTACGTTATTTATAGAGATATGAAAGGTGTCCGCCCCCCCCCCCCAAATGGGGAACCCTTTTAAGGCTTTTTTTCCTCTCAAATAATTAGGTTTAAATCTAAATGGAATATGTTTTTCGCACAGTTGATAAAATGCTCAAGATGCTGTGTGTCATTGTCACAAGCCACCTCTAAAAACTATGTCACAGCACAGCTTTCCTGCAGTTATTATGCTATGGGCAAGTAGTGATTGCAACCTCTCCCCTCCAAAAAATGTATTTGTTTCCAAGGAGCTATCATTTCCAAAAGAAATTATATATTTTTTGCTTGTGGGCTCTCAAATGGCAAGGAAGTCAAGTGAATATGCTCTTTGAGATCCATAAAGAAGCTAAGATAAAGTATTCTATATTTTTTGCTGGAAGTTAACAATCCTAAATTTTAATTATATCCTTAAATACTTATTACTTCTGTAAACCATATATGAAGTCACCCACCAGGGACATTTTAAATTTTAACACCAAACATTATTCAGTGCAAAAACAAATTATGCAAATATATTTTATCTCCAAAAGTACAATAAAACATCTTTGGTTAACAACTTAAAAGTTCCTGGTCCTGGAGGGCCTCTAGTCTCAAACAGCAATGTCTACGTGGAAGCATTTCATGCTATGTAGGAATGCTGGGGAGGGGAGAGGTGCTGCCTAGGGAATGATCAGATAAGAGGGCATAGCCCACAGCTGCACAACTGCTGAGAAAGAATGTCTCAAAGGACCTTCCCTAATTTATAAGACTGTAAAAAAGATGGTAGGAGATTAGTACTATCAGACTTCCAAGATTCTGTTAATATAAGTTTACAATAAATTAGAATTAGTTCAGCTGGTCATGTTTCCTGTTTATCTATCTTGGAAGGCTGACATCAATCTTGCAGTCCATGACAGGAAATGAAATGGGTCACCTTAGAGGACAACTACTACTGAATGATACTGAGGCTTTTACACAAGGTGGTTCAGCTATGCAATCCAAGGATGATTGGTTAGGACCTAGGAACAATGATACATGGCAAGAATAAATATAGCCTTTACATCCTATTAGCCTTCATCCTGGGCTGAAAAACAACAGCATATATTCCTCCATCAAATGTTTACACTGTTGGAGTCAAAGAAATTGCCTGGTTGACACCACTTTTTTGGTTGAATTATCAAAGCTAGTTCTTGTGTCACAAAATTGGCATAGTTATCAATGTCTGGGCTATTCTGCATCAGAAAATGCTTCCCCATTTTGCAGCTCCTTCTCCTACAATCCCCCAGCTAAGATGTTGAATTGTTCTTTTACAAGAAAGAGTTATATTATTGGCTCTAAATGGTAATAATGGCCACCAAGAGTTCATTCATCCTGACTCCATTATTTTGAACAACCATTTCCCTTATCTGACCTTCTTTTGGGGAGAAAGGTTGTTAAGAAACTCATGTGGTGATAATTACAAAATATCCTGGATAAAGATTATCTCAGTGCAAATGGCAATGAGGAATTGGATGAGATTAAACAGATTGAGGATGTATCTCAATGCTTGGAACCAGGAACCAGGGCCTGCAGGCTATGAAGAACTGGATGGGATGGAACAGATGTATGATGAATCTGAACAAAAGAGAGGTACTGTTGTGCAAAAGCTTTCTGGTTCCAAATCCAGGAAGCTTCTGGGTACAATTCAAGGTGACAATTATTACTTATCAAACGCCTTGAACTCAGGTTTTCATTAGAGACTACTATATTTGTTCCATACAGAATCTAATTAGCCATACATGCTGGTGAGAATGACATATTGAAGAATCTTTTCTGCATTCAAGATATAGGCCCATGACCAAGCCTTCTCTGTTGAATGCCTTTGCAACAACTTATCCTCCAAAATTAGCCCCCCTCTGTATGTTCAATTCAGAAGAGCATTTAGTTGGTGCTATTCCAAAAAGCTTTCAAAACAAGAGGTGATGGGAGTGACAACTGCTACTGTAGTTGGACTTGGGTGCCTGAGACTGAAAGGAAGTGCTATATTGTGAGGATATTGTATGTTTTATTGTTTACTCACAAAAAGCCACCTCATATCTAAAATGCATACAAGTGTCTGAAATATATAACTGAACTAATGAGGTAGAAAAGATTGACCTACCTTACTTAGTTGACTGAAACCTTTTTGTTAACAGGACAATTAAATACTAACAATGTTTCAGCAGCAGCTAAGACAGCAACCAGCTATGTAGTAGTAATAGACATTAGCTCCATAAATATTATAGCAAATGTAAAGGTCTTACCTTATCTGAATTATCACTTTCATTTGCTTTTTCACTGAAAGAAAATGCAATGTATAAGTAATTGTTTCATAATGCACTTTCTAAAATAAAATTAATATAAATGAATTTTTAGTTTAGATTAGAGATTTTTACTTGGTGTATACTTTAGCCCAACTCATTAATGTTTTTCCAGTGGAAACAAAGACAATCTAATTACTATTTCATAAGTATCATATATGTTTAAAGGAGCTGTCTTAGCTCAAGAGTTGCGATCAAACTGCATGACATCCTCAAGAAATGTTTGGCAAATAGGCAATGGCCTAATAATGTATGGCAGTCCTTTCTAATCTTAATCCTAGCCCTCCCTAAGTGTAGAGAAATTCAGACATGGCTACTGGCCATACTAGCTGGGAATTCTGAAAGCTGCAGTACTAAAATATGTAAAAAAAAAAAAGGTTCGTTTGTAATGCAGTAGCAAGTAGGCCAAATGTCACATATTTATCACAATAGAAATTCTACATTTCTAAACTAACAAAATATTTTTTAATTAGCCATAGTTTATTTACCTGTCAATGGCAGGAACAGAACTCAGGTGTGGATCATCTTTCAGTAAATCATGACTACTTTTGCTTTTTCCTTTCATGCTCTAAAATTGTTTAAAAAGAATGGAATGATGGGTTTATGAGAACATTTCTTCACTTTTATAACATAAATTTCTTCATGAAAGAAACAGAGCATTGCTATTCATACAAAAGCATTAAACAATATCCATATATATTGAGTTGATTGCAGATGTTCATTCAAATGAAACTATGATGATCTGCTACCTATAATTGTTACAAAGGAGAAATGGGTTTATTCTGCAGGGAGATCTAATCTTGGTGTTGTTTCTATTATCAAAATGGCCATTTGACTCTGAAACTCCCTGGATTTCAGAGAAGCAAGAAAGAATCAAAAATCCCTTCTCCTATATTACACATAGATATATTGAGAATTTTACGCAAGAAAAATAACCTTCCGGATATCAGGTGCTAGATTATTTTGTGCTTATAATTGTGACCAGGACTTTCAATTACTTTACTTACTTTCAATTGTGTATTAAAAGTAAGCAGGAGCCAGCTATTTTATCTCTATTATTTATTTATAATTTATTTATTTATAATTTAATTTATACCCCGCCCTTCTCCTCATGGGACTCAGGGCGGCTAACAGCCTCATAAAAACTACAATACAAATACAATAATTAAAAGCCGAATTAAAAAGAAATATTTAAACAGGCCGATCAATTAAAATTACCCTTAAAAATCCCCTGAAACTTTAAAATCATTAAAA